TTTGAGCCTCGTGTATCACAGGGATGAGACTCAGACACTGCACCCATGGGGGCTTTGGAGAGCTGCTCACAAAAAAGCCAGACAAAAAAATGACTTGGATATGTTCTGTCCTGGATGTGCTGGGGTAAGGTGACATCAAAGGGTTTGTCACCTCCACAACCCCCTGCTGGTGCCACTTAATTGATGTTCTGGGCCATGAGGAGCCTGCAGCTGACTCAGCTCACTTTTGTCACACCTTTATTTGGTCTCAAAAGGCACCTGAGCAAAGTTGTGTTCCTGGCACGGGAAGGAGCTGCTCATCCCCTGGAACGCAGCTTTGTGCCAGCCCCACGCTGATCCTGACTCTGCGTCAGCAGGAGTTACAGCCCCTCTCCATTCTGAGCAAAAAGAGAAAATCACACGCTTTAAAATAATAAACACTCCGAAAATAGGCACAAAATTCCTAAAAACCCCACGATTCAGAGGCAGTAAATCCACTCCATTGCAGTGCTGGTGTCGTGTTTGCAGTGAGCCATCCCGGGGTGATTCAGCTCTCACAATCCCCCGGGGAAGGAGAGAGGATGGGTGGCTGCCTTGGATCCCCAGAGGCATCACCTTCTCCAGAGCTAGCAAAGCTTGGATGCTTCCAAAGCCACCTCTTCTGACAGCTTCTCCAGTGCCCAAAGTTCCTTGTGGTGTCTTGAGGGTGGGCAGGGATCCAGGTGGGATCCCAGATTACCTCCAGGTTCCCTTTGTTCTGCAGGGAGGGGCAGGAGCCACACGGAGCAGGGTTGGAAGGGAAGGGTGGTGTTGGGACATCAGGGCCCCCTCCCTGCTCAGAGCAGGGCTCATCTCCACCTCACTGCAGCTTCTCAGAGCCTTCATCCCCCAATTTCTCCTCCTTAACCCTCTGGGACCCTTGGCAGCACATTTCACCTGCTGTGTCCCCTCTTGCAGGGGATCCAGGGATGAATTTCCCTCTGCACATCTTGGAGCTCAGGGAAGGATCACCTGCCCCAGCTGGGTGTGAGTCCCCCTCATCCCAGGGCACTGAAACCCCTGTGGGCTGCAGGGACCCTCTCTGCACCCCAAGGTGTGGGAGGTGACACAGAGCCAGCAATTTCCTCTGCCTGGACCCACAGCAATCCCTCTTCAGCTCCCACACGGATGCCACCAGCACGTTTCTTCCCAGCATCAAGCCTGTCCTCTCCCTGGGAGCTGGGGAATGGAATTGATTGCAGCCTGAGCAATTACCTCTAATGCTGCCCTTCAAGCATTTTTTGGACAAATCCATCCCTTGTTGGTCAGTGACCTCCCAGCGTGACGTCCACATCCCAGCAGGATGGATTTGACCGTGGAAATGATCAAAGCAGTGCCCCAGCCAATCTTGACGCTGCCTCTGCTGCCTTTCAAGAGGCATCAAAGCTGTTTTCCAGCTGTCAGAGAAGCAGAGGAGCATCTTTATCCGTGATGTGAGGGGAGGAGGTGCAGGATCCCCCTCCCCACCACCCGTCAGCCACGGGGCCAGGGTGACAGTGACAGATCCATTTGAGGAGCATTAGAGCTCCCCAGCAGGAGCAGGGAGCTCTCCCTTGCCAGCCTGACCTTCTCCATGTGACGTCTTCAAAAAGTTTTTCCTTCCCTGCTGCATCCCCCTCCAGGAGCAGCAAAGGCTGGAAATGCACAAATCAGTGAAATTCATCCCATTTTCCAGCCTCCTCTGGTTTATCCTGGTTGAATGTTGTCACTCTCATTTATCCTGGTTAAACTGGGAGCTCTGTGTGCTGCAGCCAAGCTCCATCACCTCCATCCCTTCTCCTGCCTCCAAAAGAGCTCTCACAAACCTCGCTGGGGGCTCCAGAGCTAACGAAGCTCCTGCTGTTAATGAAGGAAGGGGGAGGTCCAGATTGGATAACTGGGAAGATTTCCTCATGGAAAGGGCAGCCAGGCACTGGCACAGCTGCCCAGGTCAGTGGTGGAGTCCCCATCCCTGGAGGGATTTAAAAGCCACGTGGATGTGGCACTTGGGGACATGGGTCAGTGGTGGCTTTGGCAGTGCTGGGGGAATGCTTGGCCTCAACGACCTCGGAGAGCTTTTCCAACCTCAAAGATTCCATGATCTCCATGGCTGAGCCCCTCTGGTAGCCCCAACCCCTTCGCTGGTGTCAGCAAGAGCCGGGGCTGCATTTCAGCTGAGCAAGGGGCAGATTTGAGGGTGCTGCCCCATTCCCAGCCCCGTCAGGCCTTTGGGATTTCCCTCATTCCCGAGGGGAGCTGGGATAGGGGTGGCAGCCACTGACACCAGCCACAGCCTGTGGGGGTTGTGGGGAGATCAGGGGCATCCCCTGGGGAGGAGCAGGGATGTGGCAGAGCAAATCCAGTGCTGGACACACAGAGAAGGGGTCCTGGGGCTGGTGTTGGAGGATTTGGGGTAGGACTCCGAGTAACCCCAAGGCCTGGGTTGGGAGCAGGGTGTGGGATGGGGGCCCGGCAGTACCCTGGGTACCAGGGAGCATCACAGCCCAGCAGGGCTGGCTCTGCCCACCCCTGGGATCACTTGTCCCATGACTCACCCCAGGTGACCCCAACATTTTCCTCCCAAAACGCCCTTTTTTTGTGTTTTCTACCCATTTCCCCCTCCCCGTTCCCACCTCATCCTCCCCTTGATTCCCCTAAGTGATTCTGCGTTGCGGCTGCGGAGCCTCTGCAACTTGGAAAAACATTTTATTAACCTTCCTTGACTTTAAAGAGCATAATTACATTTTAATCTCATATTTCTGCGTTATCATTCCAGACACAGAGTCATTTGAATGCAGATCGTTCCCGGCTAATGTCATTTTACGATACAGTAATGAAGAGACGGAGCACGAGCGCCTAACGCCCAATTTAGAGCTGACATTTGGGGCTCTTTTAAAGAAAAGTTTTCCCAGCCGAGGGCTTTTGCGTCCTCCTCAGCCCTGCAGCGTCAGTGGGTTTGGGCTCCCGCTGTGAAGGGATGGCTTTGGATGGGGAAATGAGGTTGGTGCTAATGATGCCGGTCATTAAATCCCCCCGGGCTGCCCCAGCTGGGGGATCCAGGGCAGAGCTGGGAACTCGCCGCTCCCGCGGAGTCAGGGGCTGTGGCCACCCTCAGCCCCCTCCAGGGGAGGAAATCTGAATTTACCCAGCAAAAGCCCCAAAGCCCAGCACTGTCACCCCCCGGGTTGCTCCATGCTCCAGAATCACACGGCAGGAGCTGGGAGCAGGCTGGGGCTCCCCAGCACTGATCCAGAAAATGCTTTTCCTGCGTGCCTCAGTTTCCCTTGTGGGGGCAAAGCGATGCTCTGGGGTTCAGCCCCCTCCAGCATTGCTCCCTGCTTCCTGCGGAGCTCTTGAAAGCACTTTGAAACAACCACAAGGGTTTTCCAGGGAGGATTGCAGCGGGATCACCATTTCTTTTGGGATGCTCAAGCAGAGCAGCCCCTTCCCCACCCAGGGCACCACCTTTCCCCTCCCTCTAACTGGGGCTAATGAAACTAATGAAGGGTAGGGAAAAAAACATGTTCAGCCATCCCAAGTGATGTCCAGGCTGATTTTTAGGTTCTCTGCCTCAATTCCCCACCTTATGTGAAGATAGGTAAAGGATAAAACCCCTCCAGAAGTGGGACCACAGCTGGCAGCACCCCCACATTGTCCAGCCCCCCCAAAAAAACCCCTTCTGATCACTGTGAGCCAATCCCAGCATTTTTTGGGGGGAGAAGGAGAGGGTGGATGCTCACAGGCATCTGATTCCTCTCTGCATATTGACTTCACATTGCTGAGGTTGTAGCTGGAAAAGGGATCTGGGAACAACAGGAATATTCACGGCTGGATGGGGCAGGGGCTGTTGATGGTGTTTTTCCTCTATAGATGTTTTTGACAGCCCGTGGGTGACATGAACGTGCTGGAGGTGCCTTTTCTTTTGGTCTCCCCTCTTCCAGTGGCTTCCCTGCCTTCTGGCTTCTTGGAGAAGAGGAAGAAACGGCAGGAGAGCCGTGGGTGGCCCTGACAGATCACTCTGGGGACAGGGTCCTGCCCTGCACCCCGATGCTGCAGCCCAGCCCTTGGGTTTTGGGGTGGTGTTGTGCACCCGGGGCTCTCTCCCGACCCCAACCCCATCACTCCCCTCCAGCGTCCCCTCCCAGAGCAGCATCAGTCAAAGCAGTATCCTTCCCCAAACCAGCATCCAACAAAGCAGCATCCCAAAAATCAGCGTCAGTCAAACCAGCATCCCACAGAGCAGCATCCCACCCTAAACCAACATCCATCCCTAAACCACTATCCCACAAACCAGCATCTCTCCCCAAACCAGCATCCCACAGAGCAGCATCCCTCCTGGACCAGCATGCTCCAAACAAACACCACTTCCCAAACCAGCATCCCTTCCCAAACCAGCGCCTCTCCCAAAATCTGCATCCTTCCAAACCAGCATCAATCTCAACTCAGAACCCTCCAAATAAACAGATCTCTCTAAAGCAGCACCTTCCAAACCCTTGTCCCTCCCCAAATTAGCATTGCTCCCAGACCAGCATCCCTCTGAAACCAGCACCTCTCCCAAAATCCACATCCATCCTAAACCAGCATCACTCCCAAACCATCACCGTTCCCAAAACCACATCTCCTGAATGAACATCTGTCCCCAAACCCCCATCCCTCCCCAAACCAGCACCTTCTGAAGGAGCATCTTTCCCTGAATCCACCCCCAGCCCCTCCAGCGCCCCTTCCCAAGCACATCCCAGGGCCGGCCCGTGCCCCGCGGAGCAGCCAAGGGTGGCATCCACCAGCCCTGAGTGCTGCCGCTCTGAATCATCTCAATTACAGATTTGCTTGGATGCGATTTGGGGAGAAAAAATAAAAAAAAAAAAAAAAAAAAAAAACAACACCCAAAAAAAAAAAAAAACCAAAAAAAAACAACCCATCCCTCTTCTTCCTCCTCCTCCTCCTCCCCTGGGAAGGGGTGATGGCAGCATAAATAGCAGCTCGCTCAGCACGGGGCCAGAGACGCAGCTGGAGCAGCTTCCCCTGGCACGGCCGCGGGCACCGTGCACCATGGCAGAGCCTTCGCTGCCCCTCTCCTTCCTCTGCCTCCTCGCCTTGTCCTCCGCCTGCTACATCCAGAACTGCCCCCGGGGCGGGAAGCGGGCGCTGCCCGACGCCGCGCTCCGGCAGGTACGGGACGGGCACGGAGCTGCGGGAGGGACGGAGCGGCTCCGGGGGCGCAGCTCCGCTCACTGTGCCCCCGGGGCCGTGCCAGGCTGCCCGGGGCACCGCGGGGTCTTTGGGGTGTCGGGGACACGCGATGGGCGCTGGCGGAGCTGTGGCCGCTCCGAAGTGCGGTTGGCACCTGGAGGAGAGGCTCAGGCTTGGCCGCGGCAGGACAGGAGAGCGCACGGAGAGGGGACGGGGAGGTCATGGGGGCACGGGGGACACCCCAAAGCTGGGATACCCCAAAGCGGGGACACCCTAAACCGGGGACACCCCAAATCTGGGTTACCCCAAACCGGGGACACCCCAAAGCGGGGACACCCCAAAGCGGTGGCACCCCAAATCTGGGTTACCCCAAACCGGGGACACCCTAAACCGGGGACACTCCAAAGCTGGGATACCCCAAACCGGGGACACCCCAACGCGGGGACACCCCAAAGCTGGGATACCCCAAAGCAGGGACTCCCTAAAGATGGGACACCCCAAAGCTGGGATACCCCAAAGCTGGGACACCCCAAAGAGGGGACAGAGAAAACGGGGACACCCCAAAGCAGGGACACCCCAAAGCAGGGATACCCCAAAGCAGGGACACCCCAAAGCTGGGACACCCCAAAGCAGGGATACCCCAAAGAGGGGACACCCCAAACCCGGAGCACCCCAAAGCTGGGACATCCCAAAGCTGGGATACCCCAAAGCAGGGACACCCCAAAGCAGGGACACCCCAAAGCTGGGACACCCCAAAGCAGGGACACCCTAAAGCGGGGACACCCCAAAGCGGGGACACCCCAAAGCTGGGACACCCCAAAGCTGGGACACCCCAAAGCAGGGACACCCCAAAGCGGGGATACTCCAAAGCGGTGGCACCCCAAAGCTGGGACACCCCAAAGCAGGGACACCCTAAAGCGGGGACAGCAGGTCATTGTTGCTGGTGGCACTGACCAGCGCTGGTGGCACCGTGGCACCTCCAGGAGCTGGAAGAGGGGAGCTGCTTTCTGTACCCCCCATGCATTCGCATGGGGGTTTGCAATACAAGGGGGTGCAAGAAGGGGTTTTTTTTTGGGGGTGTGGGCACCGAGGCAGCTCCTTCCCGCACAGTGCATGCCCTGCGGTCCCGGCAACAGAGGGAATTGCTTCGGGCCCGGCATCTGCTGCGGAGCGGAGCTGGGCTGCTACCTGGGCACGGCGGAGACGCGGCGCTGCGCCGAGGAGGATTTCCTGCCCTCGCCCTGCCAGGCCGGCGGGCAGCCCTGCGGCGCCGGGGGCCGCTGCGCCGCGCCCGGCATCTGCTGCAGCGCCGGTAACCGCCCGTGGCACCGGGAGGTCGGGCTGGGTGCGCGGGGAGCGTGGCGGGATGCAGAGAGGGAGGAGAAGTCTCCCGGTAACGCTTCTCTGGTGGTGCGGTTTAGTTTTAGGGAGGGGAAATTGAGGCGTGGAGTGGAAGCGGTGGAGGTAATTTGGGGATGGTTGGGTTCAGGCTGACTGTAAGGAAGGAATTTTTTCCCGTGAGGGTGGTAAGGCTATGGCAGAGGGTGCCCAGAGAAGCTGTGGCTGCCGCTGGATCCCTGGAAATGTCCAAGGCCGGGTTGGATTGACATTGTTTGCTCGTGCTTGGAGCAACCTGAGTTAGTTGGAAGTGTCCCTGCCATGGCAGGGGGTGGGACAAGATGTTCTTTGAAGGTCCTTTCCGACCCAAACCATTCTGATTCTAAAGGATTGTGCTCACAGCTCCTCCCTGACCCACCATGAGCTTTTTCCTGGCCAGCACAGCCTCCCCTCCTGATGTGCCGGAAAATCCAGCCTTGCTCCCTGCTTAACGGGAGAGCCAGAACTGGAGCACGGGCTGTGCTGACCCCCCTGGCTGCCACCAACCCCTTCCCCTGAGCCAGAAACATCCCCCAAATCCCCTGTCCCATGGCCACGGTTTGCTTCCTGCGGCAGAGACGTGCGCCATGGACAGCGCCTGCCTGGACCAGGGCAGCGACGGCGCTCAGGAGGCGGCGGAGGAGAAGAACCTGACGGTGCTGGACGGCTCGGCCGGAGATCTGCTCCTCAAGCTCATGCACTTGGCAAACCGGCAGCAGCAGCAGCAGGGCAAGCACCCCCTGCTCTGAGTCCCCCCAACTCTGACCGACCCCCCCAACCTCGGCTCTGTACATAGGAGACCCAATAAAAGCCCTCGTGCACTGTGGTGGTCTCGTCCTGGGCACTGGGGGTGGCTCATGGGGGCTCCAGGGATCTGGCTGGGGCTCAGGGTGGGGGTGTTGGAGGGGCTTTTGTCCCCAGAGCTCCACGGAGTGCAGGGGGTTCGGCTGGGCTGGGTGCAGGGTTTGGGTCCGGGGGAAGGAGCTCAGGCAGAGCTGGAATTTGGGATCTGGCCATCGCGTCCCACCCCGGAGCCCCAGCAGCTGCCCCAGCCCCAGGAGAATGGGGACAGCTGGCAGGTGCCACCAGCACGTTACCTCGTGGCCAAGCCCCTCTTTGGGGCAGATTCGGGGCCTCGCTGCCTTCAGCAATCAGCACAGCATCTATGAAAAAGGATAAAAAGTAAGGAAAAGCTTTTTCCTTGGGAAAAGCACCCAAAATCCCTCAAGAGCAGAGAGGTTTGGGCTCCCCAAAGATCCCCTCCAGGGCTGGTCTCATCTTTCCCCATCCCCATTGGATGCTGACAGGGAGGATCAGTCCCCATTATCCCACAGTCACCCCAAAATTTGGGGCACCGTTATCCCAACCCTCTCCCGGCTCTCTTACCCTGCGGGGTCCTTGCTCCGAGGTCTCTCCGGGCTGACTGGCCAGGCACAGGGGACAGCTCGTCCTTTATGCTGTCCCTGAGGGCGGTGGCACCTCCGGGGAGGTGGAGCTCCCTGGCACCGTCGGGATCCATCCTGCCCACCCATCCATCCCCGCAGGGGATGCAGGATCGATCCAGGACCTGCTGCCCACAGCCAGCATCCCGGGGAGGGGAGACACCCCAAATCACCCCAAAATCATTTGGAAAGGGGTGACACCAGCATGGATGGGGGTCTCCAAGCTGGGATGAGGGAATTGGGCTTTCAGCCCAGCTCTAGCACTCGGATTTTCCAAGATGTGGGATGTGAACCCCCAACATTCCTGCACCTCTGGCGATGTGTGGCTGAGCTGGGAAGGCTCCATCTGATGAACACCTCAAAATCAGGCAAAAATCGAGTCCCTAAAAGACACCAGGGGCTGATAACTGGGATTTTCCCCCACTTGTCTACCTGAGACACATCCTGCAGAGCTCTGGGCACCCCTGGAGCAGCCACAGGGGCTCTGGGATGACAATTCCCTCCCTCCACCCTGTGCTGCAGCAGGAGCTGAGCTGCTGGGACAGCACACAGCAGGTGCTGAGCCCTATTTCCAACCCATTACTGTGGATCCCAGTGCCTGCCTTGTCCCTGGGACTGGGACTGACCCCGGGCGGGTGACAGGGACCCGGCTGCCCTCGTGCCAGCCTTGCTAAGTGGTGGATTTTGAAGCAAGCCAGAGGGACAGGAAAAGGTCACGGCTGTCCGGCTCTGGGCTGCCTAATTCCCAATTAAGTCAGTGCTGGGTAATGATCTCAGTGGACGTCAAGTTTTGTCCCCAGCAGGGAAATTTATTCAAGCTGGGAAGCTCCTAATTGGGATAAGGAAGGCAAGGGGCGAAGTGAGCAGGACCTTGGGTGGTTGCGTCAGCCTTCGGCCTCATCCTCGGTGCTTCTTCTCAGGGAGGAGGAGGGGAGGGCTTTGTCTGCTGGGGATGTGGCTCAGGACACCACACTGAATCCCTGCCTGCAGCTCCAAGGAGAAGCAGTGGGGAAATCTGGGATTTCGGGCCTTTGCTCAGGAGGTTGGGTGCTCCCAGGTGGCTTTGGAGCTGTTGGATGAACATGAGTGAGGATGGGCTGGGTGGCACTGTTATCCCAGAGAGGAATAGCCCAGTGCTGGGTAGCACTGTTATCCCAGAGAGGAATAGCCCAGTGCTGAGCATCCCCCAAAGGCCAGGCACGGATGGGTGGGGAGGGCCAACAAGGACATTCCCCACCCCAAACCCCATGGGTGATCCCAGAGGATATGGGATTGCTTTCTCCAACCCGAAGAGACTTGAAGCCAAGGGAAGCACACACCCTTCCCACCCCACTCCTGGGGTTGACACATCCCTTCATCTCCATGCCAGAGTGGTTCCCAACAGGACACACAACAGCTCAGCAGCCCAAAGTGGCTGCCAGAAGAGGACACAGACTCCATCCACAACCTCCACACGTTCATCCAGCTCCATCCACAACCTCCACGTGTTCATCCAGCTCCATCCACAACCTCCACGCGTTCATCCAGCTCCATCCACAACCTCCACGCGTTCATTCAGCTCCATCCACAACCTCCACACGTTCCTGCCACCGGACTCATCACGGAGGAGGAAACCAACACCTTGTCCTTGACCTCACGTCCTCGACCTCCGGCTATTAGCCGAGCCCTCCGCTGTGGGAAGCAATTCCTTGTGGTTTTTAAGGAACACGGGTGACGCCGGTGCCAGAATCCCTAAGTAGGAGCCAGGACTATAAATACAGGGCCAGTGCTTGGGATGAGCAGCCAAAAATCTCCCCCTGTCCCGCCGCTATGTCCTGCAAGGCTCTGGCTCTCTGCCTCCTGGGGCTCCTGGCTCTCTCCTCCGCCTGCTACATCCAGAACTGCCCCATCGGGGGCAAACGTGCCGTGCTGGACATGGACATCAGGAAGGTAGGTCCTGGGGGGCTCGGAGCATTCCCGACCCCAGCCTTCCCTTCTCCCAACCTTCTCCCCCTCTGCTCCCCGAGCAGTGCCTGCCCTGCGGTCCCCGCAACAAGGGGCGCTGCTTCGGGCCCAACATCTGCTGCGGGGAGGAGCTGGGCTGCTACATCGGCACGTCGGACACGCTGCGCTGCCAGGAGGAAAACTTCCTGCCCACCCCCTGCGAGTCGGGACGCAAAGCCTGCGGCTCCGGAGGGAGCTGCGCCGCTCCCGGCATCTGCTGCAGCACCGGTGAGGGCGGCACGGCATCCCGGGGTTCCTGCCGCGGAGCCCTCGCACAGCCCGGGGGGAATTCAGGGTTCTGAGAACAGCGGGAGAGGGGAGGATGCCCAAGGGATTGGCTCCGTCCCATCCGTGTGTCCATCCATCGCCCCGACAGCCAGACCACGCTCCGTGAGCTATGCAGACCCCAGGGAAGGGATCCTGGGAGAACAGGAGGGTTTGGGGCAGAGGGAAGCGGATAGCAAACAGATTTTGGGGGCTGAGCAAGTGCAGGAGCCACATTCCTTCCTGTTCTCCGTTATTCTCAAAATCCCACCCTCCTCCTTAAATTAAACTACCAGAGATGCTGCTATAAATCCTGGGAAGCATCCAGAGAATGGAGTGAGCACAAGCTCATTAAACCCCAGTGCTGGGGGGAGGGTCTCTGGGGGCTGTTTCAGGGGGTCTCTGAATGTTTGGGAGATTTCTGGGGGCAGTGGTTTTGGGGGTCCCTGGGGACTGTTTTGGGGGTTCCCTGGGAGCTGGTTCAGAGGGTCCCTGGGGGACTGTTTCAGGGATCTCTGGGAGCTGTTTTGGGCGTCCCTGGGGGCTGTTTTAGGGATCTCTGGGGGTTATTTTGGGGGTTCCCTGTGGGCTAGTTCAGGGATCTCTGGGAGCTGTTTCAGGGATCCCTGGGAGCTCTTTTGGGTGTTCCTGGGGGCTGTTTTGGGGGTTCTCTGGGAGCTGGTTCAGAGGGTCCCTGGGGCCTGTTTCAGGGATCTCTGAGGCCCATTTTGGGGGGGTCCCTGGGGTGCTGTCTGGTTTCACACCACACTTCCCCCTCTCTCCCCTCAGAGGGCTGTGGCACTGACTCATCCTGTGACCAGGAGATGCTGTTTGTGTAGCCCACCCCGGAGAGAATCCGCAGGATCCCGCTTCCATCGCTGTCCCAGCCCTGGGCTGTGACTCAGACTGAAGTGATGAGTTAATTAGAAATAAAACTTGGACAGAAAAACAACCCGGACAGAAGTCTGTGGGTTTTGTGTGCTCGCCTGGTTGAGGTGCAGGCTCGGGAGAAGAAGACACTTTTAGGGGAAAGTGGAGGTAAAAAGTGAGGGTTTCAGGTCAATTAAATGAGGGAGGGAGGAAAGGAGGGAGAGGGACCTACAGACCATGGCTGAACCACAGCAAACTCCAGGCTCAACACTGAGCAGCCCAAAACCAGAAGTTTTAGCACAAAGCTGACAGCCTGCAAGACCCCAACAACCCAGTTGTCTTTACAATTTTATCTACACCTTCAGTATCAGGTGATGAATAAATTAAACTTGAAGGGAGGAATAAGGAGACACCAGAAATCCTGGATCATTCAGACACATTTTCTTATTCAGCCACACCAAGGGATGTGGAAAGGAGGGTTTAAAGCGTCAAATCAGGATTACAATTAACTCCTCCCCCCAACAACATAAAAAGGGAAGGTCAGTGTTTTCTACAAATTCTTTCAGCCCTTGTTTGCCTTTGGAAGCATCCAGAGGAGCTGACAGTGAGGAGCTCAGAGCCAGGCTGTGCCTTGGGACCGCTCCTGCTCCTCCCCACATGCTGCGTGTGAAGGCAGGAGGGATCCAAACACGTGGGAGGTGGGATCACAGGCACAGCAACAGGGCTGAGCCAGGCTGCTGGAGCCTCCAAGTTTCCCCTCACCCCCTTTCCCGCAGGCATTAACCCTTTGGAGGCAGCACAGCCAGACCCGTGGCCCTTCTCCAGCACTTCCGTGGCCAGTTTACACATTCAGAGGAAAGATTTGTGTTTTTTGGGGGGCTCTGGACACAAGCCAGGCCGGGAGCCCCATGCCAGGGCTGCTATGACAGCACCGTGCGCTTGACGATCCGCCCATCCTTGTCGATGGCGAAGTTGTAGTTCCGTGGGTTGTCCAGGCACTCCTCGATCCGTGCCTCCAGGTTCTCGGGGGTGATGAAGTTTTTGGCTTCCTCCTGAAGTAAAGGACAAGGATTATCCCCCTCAGGATTATCCCAGCCCGTTCCCAGAGCTCTGGCTCAAGCTCTCTCCCATCCACGCGCTGTCAACACCCCCTGCAAGGTGCCGACGCTTGTGTTCCCAGCTGGCAGCTGAAAAATCTGTGGAAAACAAGCCCACGGTTTCCACATGGCTCCCTGGCAGGGAATTCTGGCAGCCTGCTTCCCAGGAGGCACCAGCTGCTCTTACCTGCAGCTGGAGAACCTCCTTCTCCTTCTCCTCCACGAAAGCCTCCATTTTCCTGGCCTGTTTCTCCGCGATCTCTAACTTCCTCCTCTTCTGCTCCTCCTCTTCTTTCCTGAGTCTCTCCTCTCTGCCAGACAGAAAGGAAAATCTGATGGATGAGGTGACACATCCATCCCCAGGAGAGCAGGAGGCTGCCCAGAGCACCCTGACTTGGCCCTCAGCAGCAAAAGGTGCAGGAACACAACAGCTGCACAGGCAGATTTCTTTAAAATGTCAGGATTTCCCAGAATCAATTAGGGTGGCAAAGGCTGTATCCTCTTGTCCTCTGCTCCCACGCTGCCAGGAAGCAGATCCTGACCCATGCTGGCTGCACCCTCCTGTCAGGACTTGTGGAGAGTGACAAGGTCTCCCTTGAGCCTCCTTTTGCCCAGGCCGAGCCCCCCCTGCTTGTCCTGGTTCCAGACCCTTCCCCAGCTTTGCTGCCTTTCCCTGGACATATTCCAGCATCTCTAAGTCCTTCCTAAATTGGGGGGCCCAGAACTGGACACAGCACTCGAGGTGTGGCCTCACCAGTGCTGAGCACAGTGGAAGAATTCCTTCCCTGGTCCTGCTGGCCACACCATTCCTGATTCAGGCCAGGAGCCACTGACCTTCTGGGCACACGGCTGGCTGGTGTCCAGCCTGCTGTCCATCAGTCCCTGCAGGTCCCTTTCTGCCTGGCTGCTCTCCAGCCTCTCTGTCCCCAGCCTGAAGCTCTGCAGGGGTTGTTGTGCAGGACCCCACGCTTGGTCTCAACCCTCATCTCCTTGGGCTCAGCCCCTGGATCCAGCCTGGCCAGGTCCCTGCTGCCCTGCAGCAGAGCCACACTCACACCCAGCTCGGTTCATCTCCACATCTGCTCATGGTGGGCTCATCAGCAAAGACATCAAACAGGGCTGGGCCCCGATCCCTGGGGACACCTCTGGTGGCTGGGTGTGACCATTCCCCACGGGCCTGGCCATGAGCCAGTTCCTAACCCGGGAATGACCCTGCCCAAACTTTCTGTAAATACCAGGCCAGGCTCTAAGCGGGCTCGGCCCTGCCTGAGCAGAAGGCAAAGCCGGGCAGGGCGGTGCCCCCGCGCTGACCTGCGGGCCCTCTGCCGGGCGTTCTCCTCCTCGTTCCAGGCCATCAGCCGCCGGTGCTCCTCCAGCTCCTCCGCGGAGCCCTGGGCAGCCAGGCGCTCCTCCCGCTTCCTCTGCAGCACCTCGGCCCTGAACTCCGCCCTGCAGGAGCAGGGGAGGGCACTGAGCTCCCGCCCGGGCTGCGAGCACAGCGGCTTCTCCCCAGGCTGCCCCACAGCACAG